CTATTTTGACCTCTGTTGCTGGTGAATACAACGCGGAGATAAAACAAACATGATTCAAAACTAAAAGTTGGAATAAAATTATTTGAAAAAAAAAATATTTGAAATTCATGGTTGGACGCCGTTCCCTCCCTTCATAGAAAGAGATGATACTTAAGTGTCTCATAAGTTCTTTTTAAACGTTCTGAGCCACTTGCCTCACACACATGATGATGTAAATAAAACATTAGATGTCAAAAACTATTTTATTTTCTAGTGATTCAGTAACGCTTGTTATTGCCTTCGATACGGAGTTCGTTATACCCTGCATAACGTACGTGAATCGAAATGACTGTGGGCGAGTAATATATGCAAACAGTTGAATGATGCTAATGGTTCCTTGCGGAAAGAATTAGGAGTGGCAATTATGAAACTGAATTATTGGAGTAAAATATGAATAGACAAACCGAGTCAAGTTAACATCTAATTAATTAGTGAATAAATAAATCGGAATAAATGCAATTAGGTAAAAATAAAATTATGTATGTACCACGAGCTATACCTGACTCTAATGACCCGGGGCGTTTTTTCGCCGCTCATTCATTAGAAACCTTATAAAGCCCTTTGTGCATAAATAACCATTCTTTTCCAACGTAGTTCCAATTCCTTATGGGGAATAATTGCCTCAATTTTTTATCACCCAAATATTCACCTCAATGACTGTGGCTTTCTTTTTTTATTATTCTTCGCTATACGTAGTATAGAATTGGTCCTAGACTTATAGGATTGATTTATTGATCAATTGAGAGTGACTCCGGGCACGTAAACTTTTAGGGTCATTAGTGCCGTTACTGTAGTGCATGTTTTGTTCGGTATGTGGCGGTGGTCTTTCCTCACTATATGGCGAGATACGGCGCCAACCTATCGTCGGCTAGCGGGGTTTCCCAAAACCAGGTATCTCCCACCAGCGGGGAACTGTCCCAACCGGGACAAGTTCTAAGCTCCCGACAGGTCTCCCGGCATGTGTGGTAGTGTAGGGCATGTTAGGTAAGTGTAAAGGGGTGAGGAGAGGACAAGGAAGTGGTAGGAAGCGCGGTCCGTGGCCCGTCCGTGCGGTCCGTGGTCCCGTTTTTTACGGTACTACTCGGGCATTCGCCTAATGCTGATCGGATAAATCACAAAAAACTACCGATCAGAGCAGCCGACCGCTAATTTTCAAGTTGACTGAATTCAACCCATCTGACAAGCTAGTTCGAAAATCCAACTGCCACCGCCGCGATCGAATCTAGGACCTCCTGATCAGAGGTACTGCAGCGACATCAGCTGTTGCCCTGAGCCATTTCTCTCGGCAGAAATATTGGAATCAGTACAAAAATTGAAAATCGAGATTTATGTGGACTATGCGGGTTTATGTATAGATAGTTTTGATTTAATTTTGATTTTTAAAGTCATAGAAAACATTAAAAACTATGTGACACACTAAGAATTAGTATAACCTGCGGTATGACATGTCGAAGCATGCCCACAATTTTTTTCTTTGGATTTAATGCCCTTCTGATACCACGATGTAAATTTTGGCTGCCAATTACTTTAAAAATTTGCCAACATTTTTGCCTTTCCAAATTTGCCAACATTTTCGTACTATTTTTCGTTTGGACAGCCCTCGCAAGCCGAGCGGCCAACGCGCGGGCGCCGAGGTTGGCGTTGAAGAGGGTTGTTTCCTCAATGTCAAACGACATTTGGTGGGAGCAGACCATCCCCGGTGCACTCAATGCTTTTCTTATTGTAAAAGTCCATTTTATTTGTGAAAAAATATTTCTTTAACCATTTCTCAACGAACGTGTGTTACTTTTTTCAATATGAATATCGTCAATATACATAATTATTAAATATTGAAAACGTATATCATATAATTGCTGCATCACTTTAAATTATGTAAAGAAGAGATTTACGAGTTGTTTTGTGAATCATATTCACAAGTCATGGTCTCATTTTGGTTTTTGTTCGAGAAAATTACCGTTCTTTATATTCTTCCCTTACAGGGTTTTAAGTAGTATGTCTCTCATGGACATCTATTATTCAATGCAATCATAACAATGCGATTTTTTAAGATGTTATTGACTGTAGATATTTAAACCACAATAAATAATCACAACTCGTTTTAACGTTAAATTATATCACGAAAATTGGACATTCATCATTTAATTGCTGATTGACATCAAGAAATCTTCGAAAACAATGCAAAATATAATGAACCGTTTCTCATAAAAGAACTTATACAAGAAACTAGAATACAGTTACTGTTGATAGACTAATACTTTTTAAATTTCTATGTTAATTTTACATAGATTAAATTAATTCTTATTTTGAATTGAAACGCAATGAATTTCGTGCTTTAAACCATTCTTTATGCTTGTAAATAAATTGGGATATATATATTGAATTTAATACTGTTTTACTCATAATTTTCTATACCAAAAGTAGTTTGTCAAGACAACAAATGTTGCACATGTGTGCAATTCAAAAAACAATTTATTTCACAAGAAACAAACTGTGCCGTTTTTAAGTTTTCTTTGCTATGACATACAATTAGTTCATGAAACAAAGAAGTGCAAATTGGTTTTATTCCAGATAATTATCACAAAAATGAGAATTTATGGAGTGTTGAAAGCACAAATTTTTTGTACATTATACACATATAACAAATGAATATTTCTGGCAATATTCTATTTCGCAATCACTATTTGTAATATCTAAACAGAACTCCGCAGGAGTTACAAATGGTTCTGGTCGCTTCTCTGTATACTGCGCAGAACACAATGCATTTATTATTAAATTTCTAAACCTAGGAGACGAAAAATGGTAATGAACAAAGTATTCAAGCTTAAGAGCACTGTTTCGCTGTAATACTTAGAACTGAATCGATAATCCTGAGATAATTTTATCAGATATTTTCTTTAAACAGCGCCTTCCACTAGGGAAAAAAATGTCTAATGGCTGAATGCAACTGGCTGTTCCAGGAGGAATTCTGCAACTTCAACACTTCTCTTTGTGCTCCTCGAATTCAGAAGCGTTGTTATGACCAAGCCACGAATCGAACATAATTAGTGAATTGTCCTCTCAATTGGGTAAAAATGCATTGTGTATGAAGAATTGCATGTTACTTTTTCTCATTTTTCGTGGTTTCGAAGCATCGCTGGTTAAATTTCATGCTGTAAACTTGGTTCTTTTTACTTGAGACACTAGCTGTCCTTGTAAGCAAATTTAAATACACGCGAAAAGATCACCATTCATACTTATCACAGACATGATGGAATGAGGAAGAGAGTTAATTGATTGTGCCATTGAGTCTGTGTGCATTTCTCCTCAATGGAACAATGTGCGTTTCGTACTAATTTCTTTTACAAACCCAGACTGATCCGCTTTGTACACAGTCGTTTCAGGAAAACAATGCAGTTTCTCCCTCACATTGGCCAAAAACTGACTTACAGCATCATTCATTTCTTTCTACTCTGTCTTCTTTCTGGGTACATATTTTGTAATCTTTCGACTAGTAATTTTATTTGATGCACTGAAACGACTTAGTCAGGTACAGCAAGCTTTAAAATCTTTTATTTTCATTTCATTTGCAGTGCCTATTCCCGAAAGTCGCTATCACTGCCACTAATTTTTTTCTCTCAAGCTACCTTAAATTGTTTAAGAAGACAATCATTTATTGCCTTTATGGAAACATGGTGAAGTTCTGGTGACCTTCGTTCGCAAATGTTTTCCACCTACGTATTTCAGGAAACGGAATTTCTTTAGTACAGTTTGCAAACTGAAACATTTCTTCCCCCAGAATTCAGCCAATATTGCACAGCCTTTTCTCCGTCACAAAGAGGAACAGTACTGTCGGGACTTTTTTTCAAGACTTTGCTTGTATTCTGCATCATTGCACTCAGACTCTTCTGTTTCAGTATCACACTTGACTCTTCTTTTGCGTATTATTCAGTCTCACTTTCCATAATATCCGGAGATTCATACATTTCCAAACTAATATGTGCATGATTAGAATGAGCGTCAAAGAACGAAATTATCTGATCGTGTATGACGAAAGGTTTATCAAGATGAAATGTATTTCTTACAAAAATGAACAACAGATAAAACTGATATTCTGAAAAACTTGTATTAGGTTAGTCTTATGTATAGTTAATATTAGTGTTATTAGTTTTATTATTTTAGCTGCTATGAGGGGCAGCTGTCTCCCAGCTTGCCCCTCGCAGGAATCAACCTTGGAAGCAGAGTCGGCCGCTTGCGGCGAGTGGCTGCGTTGAGTCACAAGCGAGCGCGCTGGGTAACATCTGTTTTGCAGGGTTGGCCACTTTTACATAGGTGAAAGCATAGGGGCAATTTACAAATTCAGGATGATTTTTAAAACACTTGCAGTGTGTATTAAGTAATGCAGTTTATGATGTGGATCTCAGGTAAATACGTAATAGATGTCAGAAAATTATCCTAATACAGCACGACGGGAAGGTCACAGTAATAAAACTTCAATGTGTTCAATCCCCGAGCTTTTCTTTCTGTTAATAAGTCATCATTAATGTTAACTAAAATAAAAGTTATAATTGTTTAAAACCAGTACTTTCTGCCCTTTTACTACATTAAATGTTCCAAAGTATTCACCAAAAATAACGTGGACCTCTTCAACTGATTAAAAATGAAAATAATATCACTTCTCATAGAAAATATATTTTACTCTGATTTAATTATACCACGTCGTAGGAAAGTAACATTCTTTGGCACTTCGACCTAGAGAAAGTTGGACAACACTAATGAATTCAGCCAACATCATTGGGCTGCCAACTACGAAAGTAAGTTCATGTATCACATGAAACTTTCCTTGGCAAGAAGTCGCGCACCTTGATAGTATTCTGTCCACGAACTGATATTGTCTACGACATCACCTCAAAATGGTTTTTGTTAGGAGCAACTGAAAGGAATGGCGAAACTGCAGTATATTTTGAATAAAATGAAGCAACCAATAAAATATACTACAAAATTTTATTTTAAGTGCAAATGATACATAAATAAATTAATGGTGCAAAATATGAATAGTATAATACATATGTATGAAATTACGATATTTGTCAGACTAGCTTTCCTTCGGCAGTGTTACTAATGAACTGTATTATTTAATATTACATCTTGAAGAACTTACTCGATGAACTAGTAAGTAGAAACAGCATGGCACACGTGCAAAAAGTGATTTCATTTTGCTTGGATTGTTCTGTCCCTGTTTCGTGGCAAATAATCTGTTCTCAAATACTAAATTGACACTGTTAGCAAACGTATTCTACGTATTACAAATCTTAAAACGTTCTCAAAAAATTGTTCTAGGCGAACAAATAAGAGTGTAAAATTTCGCTTCCAATAGCTCTTCAGTGATGAAACTGACTACGATTCTCAATTCATTTGAATGTTCTGAATGTTTAGTAAACACGAGAATTTTATCTTTAGAAAATAACAGATGAGATTACAAGATTTTATTCTTTTCATATTTAGCGAAAAATAATAATTTTCTCAGAAACCACCTCATATATTTCAAACATATATTCTCGCAGAGTGTTATCAGTAGGGGGCGGTTTTTTGGGGATCTAAAACATCGCCAAAAATAACCAATAAAATGCTCTTAGCATGTTTTAAAAAATGACGTAAAAATTATCAAGACCAGTTTAGACGAACAATTCAAGCTGTCGGATATGTTACTGATGACTGAACAAACTGCACAGATGCCGCTTGTGTCCATCAGTGCTTCGGCGCTTTCCAATCAGGTGTCTGCGGCAAGGGCACCCACTCCTTGATGTCCACCGGGGACCAGACTTTCTTCCACGTCGCCATCCACACCTTCTGCTGCCGCCACTCGCGTACCCAGCGCGCCTTCCACTCTTGGCGGCTGCGCCAGAAGCCCCCGGGGGAGCCGTCGGACACCGCCACCTTCACGGTCCTGTCGGACACGAAACGACGTCAGAATATTCACTTTAAACTTAATTCATTGAAGATAAACTTTAATCGGATTCTGAATTATTTCATTTATTATAAGAAACGTTACGATTGTAATATACCGAAAACTAAATACTATAACTAAAAAGTTGAGATAACTTTTTTTGTCTTCGAAGTAATTTGGATGACATGATGTATTTCCAACTCATATACTTGGCGTGTCTCATTAGCACATACAATATGAATTTTATTTACAGTTCTATTCTTAGCAGAATTTTTTTAAGTTGTATTGTTGCTTATTGTTTCTGCAAAACATGGACCCGGCCTTACTAATGTGATATTAATGTGAAGTTTATTTTATAATCTCCTCTCCCATTTCAAATCAGATCTAGCTCTTTTTTTTATCAAACTAGCTTTCTCCACTTAACCTTCTCGATTTCATTACATGACGCATATACGTAATAATTTGAAGACGTCTGTCTGATGCAGTTTGACCTTTAATAAAAGGCAGAATTAATCTATTGTTTGCGTTTGAACATTTCTTCAGTATGCTCACAACATACAAAGAAACTCAAATATGGTCTAAGATCAAACATTATTTGTATTAACTGTCTGAATTTTTCTCGTACGTTGGTTTCCCCTGTGGGTCGAATAATGGAAGCGAATAAATAAGTTTGGTTTTCATTGGTTTTCAAACAATAACTGAACTCAAAATCAGCACTTGTTAATTCATTCTAACGGACGCTCGCGAAACTGTATTCCAAAATATTCAATACATTCTAAACTATTTTTATTGCAATATTTCGTTCAGTATTCTTTGGCTTCAATTTGGATAAGTTAAGATAGAATGAAGTTTTTGGTACGTATGCAATACAAACAAGTTCCTCAACATAAATAAATTCAACGTTCTTGATTTCAATCATCTACTTACTTTTTTCCAGAACCCTCTATGGCTAGTACTGTCATTATACATACAGTAAGCCAGATCAGCAACAATTCCTGAAATAACAAAACACTGTTTCAATCAAAAAATGCAATAGGTCACAACAGTTTTGTAAGTTACAGATATTGAGTGTAAATTGAACATGCAAAAAAGAAAGAAGTAACGTTTCCCCACTCCCCAAGAGGCTAAAGGTTTAAATGAAAATGGAAACAAATCTTCCACTACGTTTCATTTATTGACAAGAAATATTCCATTTCGTCAGCATGGTGGGCAGGAGCTTGGAACAAGGTACGCCAAGTACACATTACGCTGAGGTTTTAGGTTCATGTTCTACGTGAGGCATCAATGATTTCGGTTGTTTTGTGGCAAAAAGTGAGTTTTCTGTACACCATGACGATTCCTTTCTTTTTCTTAATTCCTGTAATTAACGTACGAGTGCCCGGTATCTGAGGCGAAAATAATTAGCAGTTCGCTGTTGTTCCTGCGATCTTGGTGCAATTTGGACAGCCTACTTCTAATCCTATCTAAACACTCATGTGCTTATGAGCTACTCCGCCAGGTAAATGAGAAGGAAATATGTTCTGCATGGGCTTACGATTCATACCGGCGCAATCCCAAAGAGATAACGCCCAAATATCTCTCAAAGAGTTAATGCCAGACTCCTTTTCAGTGGCGGCTCATGTTAAAGTTTACAAGAGCGCGTGCACCCCTATTAATCTGAGCACTTTGGATGTACTCCCCCCGGAGGTAGGGTGGGGAAAAATAAAAATGGTAAATGGGAACCCCCATTCGCATTCTCCGCGGAAAAATACCAATATTTTAAATTGCCTATATTTTGCGCGAACTTAGAGGACAACTTCCCATATTATCAAAAAATTGAACATGATCTTATATCAATATCGATTTTTAAAGAACACGTTTTATTAAAAAAATATTTGGATCTCCAAAATTAAAAATTACCTTTATTTCACGCAAAATTATGCGAAAAATACTCAAATTTTCGAAAAATTGTGCAAGATTTTATTTCAAAATCTTTCTTTAAGAAACAGAGTTTACTAAGAGCAAAATATCTTAAATGTAAGAAGTTGCCGAAAAAATTTTGAATTTTTGAAATTTCCAAAAAATCAGTTTTAAACGAAAATGACACTTACACAAGTCTTTTAAACCTCCTTTATACTAACCAACAACAAAACTTAATCAAAAGCGATGGAGTCTTTTGTTTTGAAAATGACCGAGGGGCTACATGTAAAGTAGGCTACAACCCTAAATTAAAATTATTGTTTCAAATTCAACGGGCCGCGACGTCAGCCGATCGATAGATGTAAAAATCGGAGATTTTGGAGAAAATTGTCCGAACGGTTTAGCCACTAGCGTTGTTCACAGACAGGCGGACAGACGAGTTGCCATCAATCGATTTTTCGGTATCAAGGACCAACAAAACATGGATTCTGGCTACACTACCGTTAGAGGATTTTTTTCTAAAATTAAAATATGGGTTTATCCACTTTTTCGTTGCCAGGGTCCTGTAATAAGGGTTTTCTGCCCAAAACTCGCCGTTTTTACCATAATCCATGTTTTAGGGTTCCTTGAGACCAAAAAATGGAATGATGGCAAAACATTTGTCCGTTTGTGAACAACGCTAACGACAAAAAATCACCTGGTTTTCTCCTAAATTGATATTCCCCAATCGAGCAGCCTAATGTCGCTCCTTGAATTTGAAATTGATATTTCAATTTTTAGGGGGTACTTTACATGAAGCCCCTGGGACATTTAACAAATTTTCAAAAAAAAAATTACATACACATACATTTTTTGTTAAATTTTGTTGTTGGTAGTGTGAAGAACGATTAAGAATCATGCAGGTCTCATGTTCGTTGAAAACCTTAGTTTTTCGATAATTGCAAAAGTTCAATTTTTCGAAGTCATTCTACAACTAAAATATTAAAGGCAAAGATATTTTCTCATAATGAAATCTGTACCTTTAAGATAAATTTGAAATTAGGTCATGTAATATTTTTTTAAAATTTAAGTTATGAAAATGCATTTGCATGAACACACGGGGTAGAAAGTACATGGTATTTTAGCACCACTACTTTCTTCAACGTAGGCTCATATGTGTGGTATAGAATATACTAGTTCAGGTTTCTGACAGGTTTTTGATCTGCTCCAGTTTATACCATCTTGACCAGCACTAGCCTATCAGCTGATAGAGGCTAATATACACTCATTTTTCTGGGACATACTCATTTGGCCGTCGCATTTTGGTCTTACACTTTCATTCCGTACGCGATCCATTTTCATTTTATCAATAATTTTTGACAACACACCCATTTTCAGTATATAATTTGCTGTGAAATCGCATTATATTTTCTCTTTTCTATAGTACAGACAAGGATACGCCTGGTTTCGGATGTTTAACTATTACTTTGGGTTCCTTCCCTAGAACTTCTCAAAATAAATTGTATATTAATGACACACAAAAAACACGTTCAAACTTGTCTTTGTGATTATTACATTTCTTCTCTCATTTGTAAAAGTGACGGCAGACGCGTTTAGCACGCAGTTATTGGCAAGACCGACTTATGAACCCATTCACAGAGTTTCTACACGCTATTGAAAGTGTTCTGAGGAAGCACATGTAGTTTTTTAAAATTATTTTAATCCCTATACTTCTGCAATACCTTGTTTTCAGCAGAAAATCTAGCACCTATTCATGTTAAAAATCGCTTACTTAAATTCCTTATCAAAAATGCCTACTATGGAGTAATATGAGTAATCGTATTTTAACGTACAGAACATGAGATTCAATAAATCAAAAATTTCAAGTCTCGTCAAGACGTAAGTAACATTGTATACTTATACATGCAAATCGTCATATGTAACGCACATGTAAAAATGATTATTGTGTTCCTATTAAGTTATCTGAAAACTGAATTACGCCGTTGTTTATTGCGTCTCACCCGAGGGCAAACCTGGAGGGCCTAGGTTGCTGCCTGGAGGAGAATTCTAGCGGCCGGTTGCTCTGATTGGTAGCTGTCCGTGGTTTCTCCAATCAATAAGAATTAGGAATATAGTATCCAGGCGAATACTGGAGGAGTACCCGCTGGCCAAGGACCGCACACGATCTTTCCTTCCTCGTCCTTGTCTATTCCTCACCCCCTTACTTACACACTTACACCCACATGCACTACTCTACCACCCATACCTAGAGACTTAGCGGGAGCATAGAGCTTGACCCGGCTCGGACGGGTGATACCTGGTTGGGGAAAACCCCTTTAGCCTACGGTAGGTCGGCGTCGGATCACAACATTCAGCCAAGGAAAACACCGCCAACTCACGAGGTAAAATAACATGCACTACTAATACGGGACTAATGTCCTTAGCGGTTAACGCGCTGGGAATCACTAATAAATCCATAAATTCGAGCGAAGAATAACTTGCGTGGTCACCGTGTGTACATGTGTAAATAGCTCGTATTGTTTTCTCTCCCTCACAAATTCCAAAATTCTGAATAAAATTGACTGCATTAAAGCTTCAAAACAAGATCCGATGTCTCATATCGAAAATTTTCACAAAGAAACTTTAAAATACAGTATCGTTGATTTTTTCAAGCCAAAAATTAATTCAACCCGGACATAAAGAACAAAAAAATAAGCACAATGCAAAAAAAGTAAATTCTAGCCAAGAAAAGAGAGGAAAAGAAATGGACTCACCCAGCCCTTCATCGGAGCAACGTGTCTTCGCTTCTGACCGCACGTGTGAGCTGCGACAGCGATTGTGGCGCGTGCGGGCGACTTCTGCGCACTATATAGCCGCGCCAAGTCGCCATTTACGCCAAGGGCTTTCGCGGGCAGTGAAACTTCTGGCAGAGCGGAGACGCTGCCACGTGCCCGCCCCGGCGCGCATTAATAAGTGCGCCGCACCGCTATCATAGAGGCGCGGTGCATTTTAAACGTCGCGCCGATGCACACTCGAGCAAGGCCTCAAAAAGATGGCCAAAAGTCGATATAAACGACGTTTATTTAGGGAATTTTAAGTAAGCAGTTGGGTAGACTGGTTCCCACAGTGTAATTCCACGGTTAGAAAATGTCCGAGGCGCCACAGTGTCGTTCCGTATCAATGAAAACGTGACCGTTGAGCGAGCAGCTGATTTTGATTTTGAGCAATTTTCACATTCAAAATAGACGAAAATCGTGATGAGAACAATACATACATATATAACAAATAATAATTACATATATTACAAATACTTAAAACATGTTAAAATTACTTAATAATTAATTTTTAAATAAAACGATAAAATTGATTTGTTGCTTTTTTTAGGGAAAACGGTTATAAGCCGGAACTGGTTACCGAAATTATAGTAGTAAAGATACTTATACCTTTATTCGAAATACTTTTTTAAAATACCGATATACTACGTCAAATACTGGTATTTTAGGGGAATTTTACATTTATTCGACGACTATACCGGTAAAATACCTCTATTTAAAGGTATTATACCAGCATTTTTGTAGGAAAACACCCGTATTGCAAAAGAATCTTTGCGGTATTTTTGGGGAAATCCTTGTGTCTTTACCGCTGAGATGGCTCACAGGAACAACTATTAACACTGCAGAGTTTCTGTCCGGGAGGTCCGAAGTTTCTAGTCTTGACGGTGGTGGATTTTCGACACTATCCTTACTATTCTATCTAGGTCGAATTCTGCAGTTGGATGGACAAGAATTCTAGTGGTCGGTTTTTCTGAACGGTAGGTTTCCATGGTTTCTCCGATCTGTACCAGACGAATGCCGGAGTAGTCTTTTAAGAAACGGGCCACTGATCGCGTATTATCTTCTTTTCCTCATCCTTTCGACTTAGATCGTGAGATCCGGCGCTGATCTACATGTTGGCTTGCAGGAGATTTCGCCCCAACCTGAAAAAATTTTAAGTTCTCGACTGGCCTACAGACGAGTGCGGTGGTAGTTAGCGCCTGTGAGTGTGTATGAATAAGGAGAGAGATTGGGACAAAGAAGATCAAGGGACAAGTAAAGATCGCGGGCAACCCATGATCGTTTGACAGGACACTGCTCCGGTATTCGCCTGGAATTGGTCGGAATGTCACGGAAAATTACCGATTCGAGCAGCCGGTCTCTAGAATTTTCCTCCAGATAGCGTATCTTTTCGACCTACCTAAATTAAGCTAGTATTGAAAATTTGGCCGCCGTTGGAATTCGAATCCTAAGCCTCCCGGTCAGAGTCGCATCAGAGACAGCGGCATTGCTGGTTTCGAGCTAACTCAGCTCAGTCTAACTTTTTCTAACTTGATTAAATTTTCATATTAATGTAAACTGTTTATAAATGTATTAATAGCAATGGTTGCACACATTTTAAAACTTTCGAGTTACTATGAATAATTCTAAAGTTGTAGAAATTTGTGAAACCAGAATCGAATCATGAAAAATATTTGTAAAGAGAATCCCCTATTCGTATGAATGAAGAAACTTCCGTCTTAGAACCGCCGTGAAGTTGCCACATTGTAAGAGCAGCGAGGGCAGCACCGCCGTTGCCTAGACAGCTTACTTTCCCGGAGGTCAGCGATTCGACCCAAGGGCGTCTACGGTTCGGCTCGGAACTTGGGACCGGGAGAGATGGCTCACGGCATCAACTGATGTCCCTGCAGTCCCTCTGACCGGGAGGTTCGAGGCTACCACTCCCCACGGTGACAGGACTTTCGACATTAGCTAGGTCGAGGTCAGTCGCTGTCTGGAGGAGAATTCTAGCGGCCGGCTGCTCTCTTCGGTAGTTTTCTGGGGTTTCTCCGATCAACACCAGGCGAATGCCGGAGCAGTGCCCTAACAAACGGGCCACGGACCGCGCGCGATCTCACATTGCTCTTCCTTGTTCTATCTCCACCCCTTACACACACTTACACTAACACGCACTACACTACCACACATGCCGGGAGATCCGTCAGGAGCTAAGGGCTTGTGCCGTCTGGGGCGGTACCCCGCTAGGGGGAGACACCTGGTTGGAGAAAACCCCGCTAGCCGACTGTAGGTCGGCGCCGGATCTCGCCATCCAGCGGGGGGAAAACCACCGCCACCTCCCGAACAAAAACATGCTCTACACTTACGGGACGCATGACCCTGGTAGTTGGCGTCCCCGGAATCACTAATCTATCAATCTAAACCTGGGTTGCACTCAGAGGATAAAGTACTCGACACATTCGAGGCTATCAATGTCTTTTTTAGAGTTCCAAGTTTTGAAATGTGAGCGATGGATGTTTGACCGTTGGTCCCAGCAAAGTTTCTGCTGAATGTGTCGTGTGAGTGTGTGTATGTATGCGTGTGGAGAGGGAGAGAGACGGTCACACGGACAGAAAGAGACAGACAGAGGCAGAGACAGAGATTGGGCGCCTGACTAGGCGCGTGCAAATGAGCACGCGCGCGTGAGCCTTGCGCGTGCGTGAACGCGAGTATGGGCGTGCACGCGAGTATGAGCGTGCAGGCGTGCATGACTTTTACTTTCTCGTATACGTACATATAAACGGAGTATATACATAGTATAGAGAAAGTTATGTAATGCTACGAAAAAGCGATTTCGAGATTTCAATGGAAACACACTTTTACGGTTCTCCTGGTACCAGCAAAATTTGTTGTTGTTTTTTTTTTTTTTTTTTCACAACATCCGTCTGTCTGTTCTATCTTATTCACGAACGAAAAGTTGCGCCAGTTTTTTAGGTTTCATATGAGCAACATTTACCTTCTTGGCCTTATTAGTGGCTGTAACTATTGATAATGTGGCTTTCTGAAGTTATTTTCCAAGAGAATGAAGCAGCTGTTCGTAGAAATTCGATAGTGTATTACTCGACGAAACATTGTCATCGTACACCTTATTAGAAGATAAAGAAAATTCGAACCCAAAATAAATTAATATTTCGTAAACGGAGAGAACGTGAAACAATAACAGCCAGGAAGTAACAGAACGATAGACAATTTTCTTAAGCTATACAGGAAATTAAAATTTACGAAATGGACCAGAAAAAATTTTAAATATATATACATTTTCCTGTAGTTTAAAGCAAAAATGTCATTGGGTAAATATTTATGTTAATTTAAACGAAGGCAATATGTGTGCTGTGGTTAACACTCAAGTATATTTGCCAGTCTGATCAGAAAAGAAACTTCTTGATTCTTTAGAAACTATAAAATGATATAATTTTTATTACAGTCTCTTTCTGTTTTTTTACCAATACCATTTCTCCCCTTAAAGAAAGGGGAAGCATCAAATTGAAACTTGTCAATTATGCTGCATGTCAGCTTCAGAAAGTGCCAGAGGAAAAAATATTATTGGTAACAGAAAAATGTGAGAGAGTTACCTGAAAATCACGGTTAACAAAAACTTTGAACATTTCGAAAATTATAGGTTGTGACAATTCAGTTACTGCAGAAATAGATTTCTGTGACGAATTGTATTTAAGATTTGCTCCAGTAACTTCCATAGTCTTTAAGACTACTTTCAATTGAAGGGTATTTTGTTCGACAGAAGACAGACAACTACAACAGAAAATTTAATCAAACACTGTTGTTTTAGGGTAATAAAATTGTTCAAAATGTTTAAATATTTTGTCTCCAATATTGTCTTTTTGTGAAAAATGTTTATCTTATTTTTATTAAAACTTGTTAAAAGTATATTCTATACTATTATGTTAAGCTATGATCATGAATTTATTCTTAGAAAGAATGTATTTTATTTTGCCTTTTTTGCTTATTTCATCAGTATTGTCTTTTTGCCCAACTATTTTAGGGATTTATTGGGTCTTAAAGTTTCAGTCTAGTTATGTACAATATACAGTCAGCTCAGATTTAGTGAATTTCAATGCAATGAACTTCAATTATATTGAACTAAAGGCTCTGCTCCTCATCCACACACAACAAAAAATAAATGCTAGATAATTCAGTTATCCTTGTAATGAACACAGGAAACAGCTTCCAAGAAAACAAGTGGTGCAACAGAATGGCACAGACTTTCTCATTCTAGTTAGTTTTTTTTTAATTTCTTTGGTCTGATCTAGGTTTTCAGTTTTGTTCCATCCTTATACCAATGGCCATCTATCGCTGCCCAAAGTAAATTTTTTGAAATTTTCTAATTTTTTCAATTTTCTTGTTTTAGAATCAAAATACTTGTATTACTTAAAAATGTTAAGAAAAGTAAATCCTTGTCCTACATGGAAATTTTCTTTCGGGAGGGGGATAAGAAAAGAGAGAGTGAGAGGGAAGGAGAATATAAACAAAAGGGAAAGCGATAGAGAGAAAGGGTGGCAGCAAAAGGGACAAGAGTGAGAAGAAGGGAGTGAGAAAGAGGAAGAGGGTGTGAAAAGGACGGAAAAGGGAGGTAGTGAGAAAGCTAAAAAAAGTGAGAGAGATAAATGCAGAATTTGATGACAAAGTGCAGTAAGTTAATATTATGTTTCTCACTTTGACATGCCCTTGTCAATCCTCGTATAGTTCTTGTTTATTTAATGAGCATCTAATACACGTATTTCTTCGTAAGCAAAAGGTAGAAGTTCTCATTGTAAATTACACCTTCTAGTAATAGTCCCCTGCCAAATTTCTGCTTCTTTTGTTTTTCTTGATCACGAGAGCCTTTTTATTCATCAGGCAACTACCATGCATGAGAGGAAAATTCTATGGGGTTCTACTTTTAAAGCTGGTGAGAAATTACAGCAACCATTCAATTTTTGGAGTGAAAAAGAATTCAGATACAATCATTGAAGTTGACCTAAAGTAACTGTTTCCTCCCTGAAATTTTATTTACCAAACTCCTAATTGGCTT